GGCAATACAACCAAAGAACTTCATCCACACTTGGACTTGATTTTGAAGCCAACATCCTGGATTTTGAGCTGATAACATAAATGGATGTGAGCTTGGGGGAGGGGGAGCAGTAGGAAGAGTTTATGGTATTTTTCATGTCGAGGTAATATAAATAATTTGTGGCCAGAGGAAGAACTGTGGTGGTTTTTAAATATGTCCACAAGTTCTTTTATAGTCCTCCTTTCAAAAGATGGAGCCAATTCCCTCTCCCTTTAAGTGTGGCATTACTTAATGACTTACTTTTAACAAATAGGGTGTTGTTAAAGTGACAAGTTTTGATACCTGAAAGTGGGACATAAAGGGCATTGTGGACTTCTCCTTACCCTGTCTCTCATTTGGTCAGGTGTTCTGGGAGATACCAGCTGCCATGATGTAAGAACACTCAAGTAGCCCTATGGAGGAGTCCAAGTGGCATGGAACTGAGGCCTCCAGCAAACAGGCTTGTGAGTGAGCCCTCTTGGAAACAGATACATCAACCCCACTCAATGGTAAAATGATGGCAGCCCTGGCTGACATCTTTACAGTGACTTAATAAGAAACCCTGAAACAGAACCACCCAGACAAGCCACTTCAAATTCTTGTCTCACTGGAACTACAAGATAAAAACTATTTGTTGTTTCAAGTAAATGTCTAAGTTTGTGCAAGATATGGTTTGGATTTGTGTCCCCACCCAAATCTCATGGAATTGTAATCCCCAGTGTAATCCCCCAGGAAGAGCCTGGTAGGAGGTGACTGAATCAAGAGGGTGGATTTCCCCCTTGCTGTTCCCCTGATAGGGAGTGAGTTCTCATAAGATCTGGTTGTTTAAAAGTGTGTAGCACCTCCCCCTTCTCTCTCTTCCTCCTGCTCTGGCCATGTAAGATATGCCTGCTTCCCTTTCCGCCAGGACTGAAAGTTTCCTGAGGCCTTCCCAGTCATGCTTCCTGTTCAGCCTGTGGAACTGTGAGCCAATTAAACCTCTTTTCTTTATAAATTATCCAGTCTCAGGTAGTTCTTTATAGCACTGTGAGAATGGACTAATACATTGCATTAATTTATTATACAGTAATACATAATGTATACACTGGGTAATTACAAATATTTCTTTTATTCAGTCAGCACCATGTGCTTTTCTAGACACTGGGGATATAGTGATGAACCACACAGCCATAATCTCTTCACTCAACCAGACTGGTGGGAAAGGCAGAAATTAAACCAATAAGCACATAGAGCCACATTTATAGATTGAGATAAGTGCTGAGATAGAAGCCTATGCCCATGAGGAGAAAAACAGGAGAGACATAAGTTAGATTTGAAGGATCTCTCTAAGGATGTGGCATTTAAGCATAGCTCCAAATGAGAGACAGGATTTAGCCAGGTGCAAATTGTGGGAAGAGACTTCCAGGCAAAAGGAGCAGCTTGCACGAAGCCCATGAGTTAGAGAAGGACGTGGATGAGTCAAAGAACTAAGGGAGGGCAGGGGCAGTGACTTGAGTATGATGGACAAGAGGGAGCTGGTTGAGCTGAGGTTGGAAAGGAGGCCAGAAGTAGATCAACGCAGGAACTTGGTGGGTGATAATGAGCATATTTTAGCTGAGGGAAGCCTCTGAAACTTTTAAACGAAGAATAATGAGGTTCAGCTTATTTTATTAAAATGACCATTCTGGATGTCATATGGTGAACTGACTGGAAGGGGGCAAGAGTAGAGAAGGGAAACCAGCGAGGAGCCTCTGGCTGTAGACCAGGAGCTAGAAGAAGGTGGAATGGCTGTGAGAGGTAGAGATGGAGAGAGGTGGATGGATGCAAGCAATATTGATGGGGCAGAATTAACCACCTTTTAATCTATCAAGCCCAAACAGAACAAGCAAAACCTCTAATTAAGATCATTCAAAGCAAAAGCCAGACTCCCTAAAAATTTTTCTGTGGTTTATTATCTAATATTTGACTACTTAATAATCATTCTGCTTTTTCTAAAATGACTCTCCAACATATGAACTCTATTGTTAATGCATGGAGAAAGAAAATAGAAAGGTAAGTTTTGAACTTTTGACAAAAATTTGAATTATAAGCCTTTTATAAAGTGACCCACTTATATAGCTGAGCTAAGAGCTATCCTTTGAAAAGCTAGACCCATTGTACCAGGTCAGTTTCAAACATGCTGCAATCAAGGGGTATGTTTTAAGCTAGATACTTCCTGTTCTGGTTACACAAACTATACCAGCCCTATGTTAAATACCACTTTCCTATTGTAAAGCCTAGAAAGGAATAAAGAACCAAACATACACTTCTTTAATAGCGGTTTTTTGTTTGTTTGTTTGGTTGGTTGGTTTTTTTTGACATGGAGTCTCGCTTTGTCGCCAGATTGGAGGGCAGTGGCACAATCTCGGCTCCCTGCAACCTCCGCCTCCTGGGTTCAAGCAATTCTCTTGCCTCAGCCTCCTGAGTAGCTGGGACAACAGGTGTGTGCCACCACACCCAGCTAATTTTTGTATTTTTAGTAGAGACAGGGTTTCACCATGTTGGCCAGGATGGTGTCGATCTCTCAATCTCATGATCCGCTCGCCTCAGCCTCCCAAAGTGCTGGGATTATAGGCGTGAGCCCAGCCAACAGCATTATTTTTTAAATTGAGGTCATGCCATGTAGAAGAATTTTCTTAGGTAACTGCTTCAATTACCAAGGTTCTCAGAATGTTTTCCTTCAAGAAGAAGCATTTATCCTCTACAGCAACATTCCTCAAGAAGTGTTCTAGAGACCATTAGCAGGTATCTGCATCATGTGAGGTAAAGCACTGCAAATGCTGACTCAGTGAGTCTTACATGGGACCCCTGAACCGTGTTTTAAATAAGCAAAGAAGTAATCCCTATTTTTATTCACTAGAACCTGCATCAGAGATGCACTATTATGGCTTGCATGAGAACTCTGAGTAAATGCAAAGTTGTGGCTTGATAGGACAAATGATATGAAACTTTTTCTTTTTTTTTTTTTTTTGAGAAAGGGTCTCACTCACTGGGCACTCTGTCACCCAGGCTGCAGTGCAATCATGACTCACTACAATTGTGACCTCCTGGGCTCAAGCAATTCTGGCCCCAGGCTCCTGAGTAGCTGGGATTACAGGCATCCATCACTGCACCCAGCTAGATTTTTTATACTTTGTATAAATGAGGTTTCACTTTGTTGCTTAGGCTGGTCTTGAACCCCTGGCCTCAAGCTCTGGGCCACCGAAAGTGCTTGGATTACAGGTGTGAACCACTGTGCCTGGCCTCAGACATCAAACTATTTTAAAAGAAAGGGAGATTTGGGGTCAAAATTATAAATTCACTATCCTACTTTGTGAGGAGAGTAACCATCTTAAATATATATGAACCTTTCCAAATCTTCAAGCCTTCACAATCAGAAAACTTACTGCTGACTGTTAAAACTACATTGGTCAAGCAAAGTCAATTTTCTTCCTCCAGAGGTTTTCACCATACAGTTTTTTTTAAAATGGTCTTTGGAATGAAGCACAAGGACAGCTTTTGTGTACGGGTAATGTTCTGTTTCTTGATCTAAATGTTAGCTATGAAGCTGTGTTCCATCTGTGAAAATTTCTCAAGCTAAACACTTGTGATAGGTGAACATTTCTGAATGCATAGTATCCTTCAAAAACTATAATTGGTCTTTTAAAAATATTCAAACATATTAGCAGTTACACTAAAATATTTTAGCATTACACTTCTTACCTTTCAAATTAATAACCCTCAGTGTTGATGACTGCTGAACTGAAAGGAACATTCTCAGATGCACTGCTTTTGGAAAATATAAACTGATGTAAGCCTTTTGGAAAGCAATTTGACAATCAATAGCTGTCCAAAGCTCTGAAAACAGTCATAACTGTTGACCTAGTAATTTAGTTCTCAGAATCTATCTCAAAGAAATAATCTTCACTATGGGAAAGTCCTATTCCCAACATCAAAAAACATAAACCCACCTAAATAATCACAATATGGTAATTATTAATTAGGTTGTAGCATATCTATATCATAATTTGTATACATTGATGGTAAAGCTAAAAAGCAAAGCAAGGAAATGATTGATACAAAACTTCTCTATGCATCTGGGGAAGAACACAAATGCACTCCCATGTATGTAATAATATTCTATTTAAGCTGAGTGGTGCATACACAGGTACTCCTATTATTATGATTATTTAAACTATACATATATTTTATATACTAACATGTGAATATATATTTTATAATATAGAAGTTTTGATATATTCAGAACAATTAATGTTTACTAAAAGTTTGTCAACATGAAAAATGCTTATGTCATGCTCACTGCAGCAGCACATATGGTAAAATTGGAATGAAAAATGGTCATATCATAATTGTGAGTAAAAAGCTAGGGCACCATCAATGGATAGACTAGATAAAGAAAATATGACACGTATACACCATGGAATACTATGCAGTCATAAAAAAGGATGAGTTCATGTCCTTTGCAGGAACATGGATGGAGCTGGGGGCCATCATTTTCAGCAAACTAACACAGGAACAAAAAACCAGACACCACATGTTCTTACTCATAAGTCAGAGTTGAACAATGAGGACACATGGACACAGGGAGGTGAACATCACACACTGGGGCCTGTTGAGGATGGGGGTGGGGGCAAGGGGAGGGAGAGCATTAGGACAAACACCTAATGCATGCGGGGCTCAAAACCTAGATGACGGGTTGATAGGTGCAGCAAACCACAATGGCACATGTATACCTATGTAACAAACCTGCACATTCTGCACATGTATCCCAGAACTTAAAGGGAAGTAAAATAAAAATAAAAATAAAAACTAGGGCATTAAATTAGTCATAAATTATGGCACACAGATCTTCTAAAAGGAGGTTGGAATAGTCATACAAAGACACTCATTTCAACTACGACTTAACGTTGTGCTGAGGATCCCAGTCAAGAATTCCTCTCATAAAAACAAAAGAGCCTCTTTACCAAGGACCTGCCAACATGGGCCGCGTTCGCACAGAAACCGTGAAGAAGGCGGCCCGGGTCACCATAGAGAAGTACTACACGCGCCTGGGCAACGACTTCCACACGAACAAGCGCGTGTGCGAGGAGATCGCCATTATCCCCAGCAAGAAGCTCTGCAACAAGATAGCAGGCTATGTCACCCATCTGATGAAGCGGATTCCAAGAGGCCCTGTAAGAGGTATCTCCATCAAGCTGCAGGAGGAGGAGAGAGAAAGGAGAGACAATTACGTTCCTGAGGCCTCAGCCCTGGATCAGGAGATAATTGAAGTAGATCCTGACACTAAGGAAATGCTGAAGCTTTTGGACTTCGGCAGTCTGTCCAACCTACAGGTCACTCAGCCTACAGTTGGGATGAATTTCAAAACGCCTCGGGGACCTGTTTGAATTTTTTCTGCAGTGCTATATTATTTTCAATAAATCTGGGACAACAGCAAAAAATAAAATAAAAACAAAAGAAAGGACCCACTTAAATTGATATTCTTTTTTTATAATTGTGTACCTAGAACATTCAACACAATCAACTGACAATACACCAATACTAATAAGAGTTTAATAATCTGACCAAGAACTGTTCTAGATGCCAAAAGAAATGACGGCTAACAGTTTTTGAGGGCTATGTACCAGGCACTGAATAAGGTGCTTTTCATGTATTAACTCCTGAGGGAAGCTGGTAGTATTATCCTGACTTTCAAATTTAAAAACTCCTAAGAAACAGAGAGGTTAAATAACTTGTGTAAGGCCACACAGCTAGCAAGGGACAGAGTTTGGCAGTCTTTGCACATAACCATTACATTGTATTACCCCAACAATAAGCAGTTAGAAAATGTAACAGGTAGCCAGGCGAGGTGGCTCATGCCTATAATCCCAGCAGTTTGGGAGGCCGAGGCAGGCAGATCACTTAATGCTGGGAGTTTGAGACCAGCCTGGGCAACATGGCAAAACCTCGTCTCTACTAAAAAAAATAAAAAGTTAGCCAGGCACGGTGGCACATGCCTGTTATCCCAGCTACTTGGGAGGGTGAGAATCACTTGAACCCAGGAGGCAGAGGTGGCAGTGAGCCGAGACCAGGCCACTGCACTCCAGCCTGGGCAACAGAATGAGACTGTGTTTCAAAAAAGAAAAGAAAATGCAATAGATCACAGGATCCCCTTCATAATACAATCAAAAAGCAAACAAACAACAAAACAAACAAAAAACACTCAAACAAAAAACACACACTAGGGAACATGTTTTTAAGAGTTATATTTTTAAAAATTTAAAGCAAGACCAAATTGAATACTCGAAATTATATGACATGGATGTGAATTCTCCAAAACAACAAAAAAACTTTGGGGATGGGGTGTGCAAAGGAAGCTGTGCCCTCCAGATAGTCTCATCTTTTGGCCAGTTGTCACTTAGGGAATTCTCTGGAGATGGAATGGTGCATGGTGCTCCGGTCATACAAAGATAACTAAAATTCAGGAATCTGGTTTAGCTACTTTGAGAAAAGGTCTTGCAAAAGAAAAAGGGTTAATCAGGAACCCCAAATAATGAATGGTAGGCCATGGAATGAAGGGTTCTGCCAAGCTGTCATCAATGTGACAGCCTGCGGTGGATAAGCAGATCATACCACCACTGCAGCCTTCCACTTACATCAAAATTGTTGAGCTGAATTCAACATATGCTCCAATCCAACTCTCCCTATTTATAGACAAGGAAACTGAGGTCTAGAACAGGCTTCCCCTCCCAGCTCGCAAATTATTTTAAGGCAGAACCAGAGAGCTAACTAAGCACTCCCCTTCCCCAAGTTTCCTGAAGACCAGTCTGAATATATATATCCAAATGACTGCACCCATTTAAGCACACTGTATTGAATTTCTATTTATAGACTAAGTCAGCATTTTCCAACCTTCAGACATTCACCTTCCACCTTATGATTTTGTCATATTCATATATCTCTACTATAATTCACTTTATTTTTTTAAAATCTATAAACTTTTTTACATAAATTTAGCTTCATCCTAGGCAACAATATTAATAAAATAATACATGAAGTGTGTATTTTTCTAACACATTAAAGACAAATATGTATCTATTGAAGTTTCAGTGTTTGCATTTGAACCACTTGTCAGAAAAGTAAACCATCCTTTGCTGTATTTGAAAAGACTCTCTCCAGGTGTTCCAAGGAATTCTAATCTGTTTAATGTTAATGGGTGCTATTGATGAAAGAGCACTTGATCAAATAAATCTGGGGAATGCTAGGTTTTTTGTTTGTTTAGAAACAAGGTCTTGCTCTGTCGCCTAGGCTGGAGTGCAGGGGTGTGATCATAGGTCACTGCAGCCTCAAACTCCTGGGTTCAAGTGATCCTCCTGCCTCAGCCTCCCAAGTAGCTGAGACTACAAGCGCATGCCACCATACCCGGCTAATTTTTCTTTTACTTTTTGTAGAGATAGGGTCTTGCCTTCAAGAGGTCCTCTCACCTTGGCTTCCCAAAGTGTTGGGATTACAGGTGTACAGGCGTGAGCCACCACACCCCAGAATATTTCTCTGATTATTTAAAAAATCAGAGGTAAGGCGTGAACAAATTTTTCCCTAGTGTGAAACACAGGGTGTTTCACAACATTGTGCAATGAGATTCTTCTAACAGGTACAGCACTTAACGAGATTTATTTGACCACGAAACCTTTTTTTCTAGACAGTATTAGTGTTGATAACATGTTCTAAGCTGTATTAATTTTCAGAGGTTTTGTTTTTCTTTTTGACCCCATAATTGATATAAGTAGATACGGTGTATAATAATTTACACTGTATCCATATTAGCATATTCAGAATATTTTATGGTAGAAAAAAGTGGGTAGAAAAGCATAGTATTTCCTCTTGTCATTTTCAAAGTGTCAGTCTCTTGGAGAAAAGTGACACACCTTGTTCAGAATGAAACATCTGCATTAAACTTGGGCATTCTAAAATAATACAAATAAATTTTAATAAGTCATCCAGATAGCCTACATTAGTAAGGCTTTCCACTCATGTTTGTTTTTGTTGTCTTGGGGACTTCTAAACTTCTAGGTGGAACTTCAAGAGTGATAAGCCCATAATATCACATTTAATCTGTGGGTGTGACTGGGAGAAAATATATCACTCACTCATTTACAACCCATTCGTTTCCTCTTTCTTTCTTTTTCTCTCTTTCTTTCTCCCTTTCTCTTCCTTTCCTTTCTCCCTTCCCTTCCTCCTTTCCCTTTTTTTTTCTCTCTTCTCTTTCTTCAATGTTTTGATATAAAAAACTGAAAAAGATATTTATTGCATTTTTATCTTTCTGTATATTTGTGTTATCATAGGAAAAAAATCTCATAGTTAATAAACTAATGCTTTAAAGCCAAAATATATGAATATTTCTTTCTAGTGCACTTTTAGTTAAAATTAAGAACTAAGATTCAAGGCAAAGAAATGCTGTAATACTCTTCAGTATTCATGTTAGCGAAATGAAGTACAGTACACTAATATGGGAGGAAAAATAGTGATGTGTTAAGGACAAAGCGTTTTGTCATCCGGCCATACACTAATTCACAGACCATCTCAAGTATGTTACTCTTAAATACTTTTTGTTCCAGCAATCAAAGTTTCAATATATCTTCTTCTACACCTTACAAAAATTATCAAATTTTAGAGCCAATTTTTATTCTTAGAAATGCTTTTTATTCTCTAATTCACAAATATTTATTAATTAAAAAGTTGTGCTCTTCTGAGATTCCTCACCAATCCATGGGGTCAGTTAGATATTTGGGAAGTTGTTCAGCTCTTACAAATATCCACATTTGACACTAACGCACCACAACAGAATAACCTGAGTAAGCTCGATTCTCTGAAATAGTCAGAGGAACCGAAAAAATAACTATTAGGTACTAGGCTTAGTACCTAGGTGCCAAAATAATCTATACAACAAACCCCTGTGACATGAGTTAACCTGTATAACACACCTGCACATGTACCCTTCAATCTAAAAGTTTAAAAAAAATAGAGTTTTCTCTCCTCTCTGGTTATAGAGTCAATTGTGCACTGCACTGCATTTATAATGAGGAAATAAACAGCATACCCTTTTAGTATGGGAGGTAAACAAGAGTTAACTTGTATAAATATAATTTAAAATGTGTATTCTACTTAATACGTGAGAATTATTAAAATACATGTGCATCAAAAATTAACTAAAAAATAGAAATAATTAATAAGTGCCTGATCCTTTAGCAGAATATTTCCCAAAGAGCTCGATTATGTAGCAAACTTCTATGCCATAAGTTTGAAATGATTCCATTTTTCAAATATTCATTTTTGTGTATATTTAAACATCATAGAGTGTCTACTCAATAAAGTTAGGTTTTAATAATCGCAATTCATCTTTTTAAAAAATAATTTACTCTCCATTTGGCTTCCAAAATTTTATTGCAGTATTTAGATTTAGTTAGTTTCTAATAGCTGAAAACCTTCAGACTTAAATGTCACAGTTTGACCCAAATGCACTTGGTTCCTGGCCTCTTCAGTTTGTGTCCTACTGCTTCCAAATGACAAATGTGGGCACTTTGTGTAAAGGCATTGATTATACTGTTAGATAGATTCTAGACATGCTTATTAAAAAGGCATCTTTTTATAGGTGAATATGCCTTGCAGGATCCTGTATCCTAGGTGAGATTATTTTGATAGTTACATGTTTAATGATGATAATCACTTGCATCTATGTCGCTTTCATATTCTCTTGGCACCAAGTTTGCCTTCCAAAGCAAACTTTGACTAAAGATCTTCAGGGCTCATCCATAGCTGCGTAGGCAAAGAAGTTCTCATACATACAACCATCACACATTTGCAAAACCACCATTTATTAGGGTCTCTTAGAATGAATTCTGTACATATGTATGCTAAAGATGGAAAAGATGTTTCATTTTTTATGCATCACTGGATGGGTAGTGGGTGCTTAGACGAAGCAGTGGGGTTATTGATCAGCAATGTCTACAACATGTATAGGAAAAAGGAGAGGGGCAGATGATGTATTGCTCCCTCTCCCCATTTGTCATCCCTGAGTTAAAACTTTCTGTCCCATAGCCATTTCCACCCCATCTCCCACAAAAAAAAAAAAAAAAAAATGCACCGAATGAATGCAGATTTCCTTACTGACTTTACATCCTCATAGAGCAATAGATGATAAAGCTCATGTTCTCATGGAGCCAAAAAAAGTCTCATAGTATGTATATTACTGCCTGTTAGTGTTGAAGCCATGAATAAGCATGTGTGAGCTGTTTAGTGACAAAAAGAGAGCAGAGATTTGGGCTATTAGAGGCGATCCTGGCAGTGACATCTGTTGACAGAGCTGGGAAGTTAGATAACACCAGTAAAAACTGACAGCATAAGGAAAGGAGACCTTCGGGAAGTTACTTTGCCTGATCTTCCACTCATCACGCTAGACCACCTC